GAAAGACGAACCAAGCCACAAGCTTCTTGAGCATGAAAGAAGCATCATGCCATTGGGCATGAACGCCTCAATTTCGTGCTCAACCCAACAAAGGGCTTAAGACCTCTTTCAAAGTGATACAACAAATGAAAGATGGCATGCAATGGTACACATTTCAGCACTGAAATGACATGTTCAACAACATTAAATCATACAAACAATGCATGCAAGATATGCCTGAAGTCAATGGCATTGGAGCTAACAAAGAGCATAACACTATAGGCATACAATACTCAGCCTAACTGACCAAACCACCCCCGAACAGAGGTTAAATGTGCCAAAACAGTGGCCAAAATATGCTGAAATGATAGCCCAAAAGCTTAGACAAACATGCATGCAAGTTGGCTTACAAGTGAAGTATAAGGCTCAACCCTCAAACACAACAAAAGGGCAATAAATGCAAGAATATGGCAGAGGTATATGGTCTGAAATAACATGCCAAATGATGACATGCCATGCAATGCAAAAAGCTCAAATATGACATGCTAGAGGTCTCAAAGTACATGACTAACAAAGCCAAATACACTATAGCTATGCAAAGCCGAGCATGCATGACCAAAACCACTCAAATCAGGCCTAAAGCATGCTAAAACATAGCCAAAAATATGCTGGAGTAGAGCATACACATGCCAAATCAATAGGCTAAAACACCAAATACACTAGGCTAGTGAATAAAATTGCACTACAAGTGCAAGAAGCATGCAAGAGGTAGCCAAACCAATCAAAAATAGAGTTATGGCATGGCAAATCAATGGTAAAAATATGCTGAGATAGAGCTAACATAAGCTAGAATAAGAGGCATAAAGCATGATGCATGTTAGGCCAACAAGTAGGATCACACTCTAAGTGTAAGATGCAAGAAACCAATGATCAAACTAACCCAAAACACAGTTATGGCAGGTCCAAAAAGTCACAAAAACATGCTTGGACTAAGCTAGCAAATGAGAGAAATACATGGTCATGTATTAGGCCATCAACACAAGGCATAAAGGCACCACTCTTAAACACAATGAAAGAGTGATAAACATGAGAGTATGACAGAAGTTTATGCTCTGAATTTACATACCAAATGATGCTATATCACACAAATGTCACAAATGAGGCATGCTAGGGGTCCCAAGACACAAGACTAGCAAAGGCCACTACACTATAGCCATACAAGGCAAGCCTCAAAGGGCCAAGATCATTCCAAACAGAGTTTAAGCAAGTCAAAACAAGGCTAAGAACCTGCTGGAGCAGAGCTAAAACAAGCTAGAATTAGAGGCACAAAGCATAATGCATGTTAAGGCTATAAGGAGGATTGCACTACAAGTGTGTGAAGCATGTAAGAGGCAATCAAACCAACCCAAAACAGATTTATATCATGTTAAAATAAAACCTAAAACATGCTAAGATAGAGCCTCAAGAAGGTAGAAAAACATGCCAAAGTGTTAAGCCAACAACACATGCAAACAAAGCACAAAAGGGGGGGACTACCCCCATCAATTTTGGGTCTCAAAACCTACTTTCCACCACTGAAATTCCTCTGGAATTCAGTGGTGAAAAGGCCAAACAAAGGTGATCTCAAAGGTCTTAAAATAGCTCAAAGCAAGGCAAAATAAGGCACAAAAGGGGGTAAACCACCGCCAACTCAAACAAGGCCTTAGACAACCATTTTAAAACTTAAAAACAAAAGTTTTTGTAGTTGCAAGTTAGGCCTAAAACAGCATGCAAGGATGGCCAAATAAGCAATGAAAATAAAGCTCTAAAGAGGCTCTTACTCACCCTTGAAGCACAACTTCAAAAACAGCAACTTCTGAGGCAAAACCATGTCAAAACCACTCAAATAAGGCTCCCAAGTACCTCAGCAACAAGATGAAGGTGTTTGAGTAGGTGTTTGCGTGCAAAAGTATGAAGAAACAACACTTTAAGGCACAAATATAGAGAAAGAGGGAGAATTCTAGAGAGAGAGGGAGATTTCTTGCTTCTTCAAAAATCTGAACCCCTCTTAAAGTGGAGGAAGCTCCCCTTAAATAGAATTACAAGCCTCAAGCTTGTTTGACAACCTAGAAGCTTGTTGTCATCCCTCCATACACGTGTATAGGGGATTCCTTCTGTGCCCAACAGCTGGCACAACTGGCAATAAAAATATCTGCAAAAGCAAGAAAATGGCCGTCGGCCACCTCAAGTGGCCTACAGGCCCTCCCCTCCCTCTAGGCAAGGAATAACAAGGTATGGCACAAAAACAAACCAAAAGGAAGGGTTCCAAGAGACCCCAAGACAAGGCACTCAGTCGAAAGCTCCCGAAACTAGTCTATCGGCCACCGCAAGTGGCCTACAAGAGAGAAAAATAGCCTACAGCTACAAAAAGTGGCCTACAGGCCTCTCTCTCCCTCTAGGCAAAGGCACTAAGGTCCGGTCCAAAAACCAGGCCAAAAAGAAAAGAGTTAAGAGGTCCCGAGACAAGGCGCTCAGTCGAAACCCCCGAAAACTCATAACGAGCACAAACATGCGCAATCACCGAGTGTACAAACGATGACATCAAAGTCTTGAGGTCGGTCAAAAATGGGGTGTCTACAGGTGCCCATTCTAGAGGGCACTCATTGGCCCACCGAGACGTAATGCAGGGATATTATTAGCCCACCATGCGTTCTGATGCCGAGAACTACGTATAGAAGTGTGAGCAATGCCAGAAGTTTTCCCCATTAACTCATCTACCCGTCGAAGAATTAAGTTCCGTTACTAGTCTTTGGTCGTTTGCTCAATGGGGCCTTGACATAGTCGAACCACTACCGCGAGCTTCGGGAAACAAACGATTCTTGATCGTTACAATAGACTATTTCACGAAATGGGTTGTAGCGGAATCACTGGCACATATCTGAGATGTCGATGTTAAACACTTTGTGTGGAAAATTATTATAACCTAATTCGGCATACCTAGAAAACTTGCATCGGACAATGGCACCCAATTCGATTGTGGCGTCTATCAGGAACTATGTAACACATATGGTATCCGGCCCTATTTTTCCTCACCGGCGTACCCATAAAGCAACGGACAGACCGAGGCCTCTAATAAAGTGATCCCAGATGGAATCAAGAAACGATTGGAGAAGGCCAAAGGCAAGTGGGTTGAAGAGCTGCCTAGTGTATTATGGACTCACCATACCAAAAATTGAAAAGCTCATGTTAGTGGCCAAGTGGGGCAGTGTACGTAATTTGGCGCTAACATCAGCAGCTGAATAGATTCATTTATCTATCCTTGCCCCAGTTGGACACATCGTGCCAGAGCTGATTAACACATATTGCCCAAAAAGTGGTAAGCTCACGTTAGTGGCCAAGTGGAGCAGTGTACGTAATTCGACTCTAACATCATAGGCCGAATATATTCATTTATCTTTCCTTGCCCCAGTTGGACACTTCGTGCCTTAGCCGATTAACACATGTTGCCCAAAAAATGGTAAGCTCACGTTAGTGGCCAAGTGGGGCAGTGTTCGTAATTCGGCATTAACATCAAAGGCCGAATAGATTCATTGATCTACTGTTGCCCCAATTGGACATATCATGCCAAAGTCGATTAACACATATTGCCCAAAAAGTGTTAATCACGTTAGTGGCCAAATGGGGCAATGTACGTAATTTGGCACTAACATCAGCGGCCGAATAGATTCATTTATCTACCTTTGCCCCAGTTGGGCACATATTGCCCTTGCCTCAATGCGGTAACGGCTGTGAGGCGCATCAAAACCGTTGCATCCGTAATTAATGAACAGGGCACACAATACTTATGAGGCTTCGGGGGTCATTAGATAGATTTAGCACAGACAGTGAAAAGGGTAGTCGATGATTAGAGAGTGAGCAGCGAAGATAGTGTCGACGGTGGTCGTACTGCGTCATTGTGAGCAATCATATGTCTGGGAGGCTATTTTTCAACAATAAAGGAGAAGAAATGAGCTTAGCGGAGCTTAGCAGAGCTAGACGCAGAAATGCATCGCGCATCTGGTAGCGAATCTCAGAGAACGGGCAACGTCACAGTGAAGGTGCAAGAGAAACGTCGGTCACCCAAACGTCGATGTAGGTCCCCCAGAAGGGGTGAAGTAGAGAAATCCCCCAGAGATGGGTTACAATAGCAGGGGAGCACGAGGGCGGTGTGTGGGCTCCTCTTTCAGGTATCATTTCAAGGATCAGGAAAGTCTGTCTAGATCAGAGAGCATTCCCAAACTCCTTTCACCATAAAAACATAAAATTTGAATAATATTTATATAAATCTCCATTTATTTCAAACAAAGCCAATGATAAAAATAAATTAAAATGACAAAATTTCATTCTACTCATTATTACAAAAATAGAAAATTTTCACAAATTTCAGATATTGAATTACTGTTTTTAAAATAGTAAAATTTTTAACTGAGATTGAAATTTTCAAAATTGATAACCAATTGGAAAAATTAATCATTTTATCCATCACATAGTCAAATTCCAATTCTCTTATTTTCTTGTACATAAACTTGTCTCATTAATCTTCCCTCCCAAATTTGTGATCATATGAATGAGCTGCCCCTCACGAGGCAGCTGCTGAGAATTTCAAGCTGCCATGATGTTGGCTTGATTTAATTTTTCAAGACAGGCACAAGATTTTTTATTTCAAATATGTCTGTCTACATGTTTCACGCACTTACAATCACACTTGACTACAGGATCTTTTATTATGAAAACGTGTCTGTCTACATGCGTCATGCACTTACGTTTGAAAATTTTAGAAAAGAATTTAAAAAGATTAAAAAGAAAAAAAAAATAGATAAAATATGAATAAAATATACTTACATTTTACTTAATTTCACACATTTTTTTCCTTTCATTTTTCAAATCCTTTCTCAAATCTCCCAACCAAACACAATATTACAGTCACACAAGCAGAGACATCTTTTTCATACAAGACATTGTTTGAAGCATAAAGCCCTTGAGCTTCGCACATAAGAATTGCATGAAGAAAAAAAAAATGATACATGTTATTGCAAACACATATTGAAGCAACTGGGTAGGTATTAGTATTTATAAATTACAAAATCAACTAGCTTCCCCTCTACATCAAATGAGAACAAATTTATAACAAATTGCCAAAACATCAAGAATATTTGTGCCTTGTTTGGTAGAGACAAACTCCGATCAGTTCTTGAGGGCCCAAGGACTCGAAAAAGAGAAGGATCAGTTGGCCATTACAAAAAAAAAAAAAAATCAAAAACATCAATACTTGACAAATCTATTGGTTGACAACAAAATGAATGTTATGTTCCAACCCTTTCAAGATTTTCCGAGACAGTTTTCATCCTAGGCCGAACCTCAGGGTCTCCCTCTGTGCAAGCGAGGGCTATGTGAAACACACCTAGTACTTCCTTCTTGGCCTGAACTTCTTGAAGCAACATCGGATCAACCATATCTGACAATGGAGTCTCCTCTTCAAATCCCTTCCTTACCCACCTCACTAGATCCGGGACTTCTGTGGAAGTCGATGTGGTTGGACAGGAAAGCTCTGGGGACTTTCCTGTCAGCAATTCAAGTAGGACAATCCCGAATGAATACACATCCCATTTTTGGGTAGGTCGGTTTCCATTGACACGCGCCTCTGGTGATTTGTAGTTGTTTGTTCGCTCTGGTTGGACGGACTTTAGATAGGGAAGGGCTCCGCCAATGAAGCCACCAGACGAGGAGGGGTTGTTCCCCGTGATGTTAATGAGGCGGTTGAGGCCAAAGTCGGAAATGTGAGGCTGGAATTCATTGTCGAGTAGAATGTTGGATGGCTTGATATCTCCATGGACGAATTTCCTTGGACTGCATTCGTGGAGGTAGGCCAAGCCCCGTGCTGTTCCCTTTGCAATCTTCAGCCTGGTTGACCATGAGAGGCTGGATGATGGCTGACCATTTCTCCCTGTTAAAAGAACATATATTCAGTTGCAAACACTTGCGACAGAATGAGGAAACCACAAGAAAATGGGAATTTTTTTTTTTGGGGGGGGGTTGACCAAAATGAACAAATCAGATTATCAAAGACCTAGATAGCACTGTTCAGTGGACCAGAGACAAGCCCAATCCATATTTCTCATTTCAGAATATCATTTCCATTTATATATATCAAGCAATGGTGCACTGTAATTAGAAATGGAGTGGGCTTAAGAAACTACTAGATCAACCCTAGTGAAAAGTGTAATTTAATACAATGTTGCTAGGCTTCTTAATTTTAAATTGCAATTTAGTCCCATGTTATGCAACTGAAAATGCAGTCACCAAAGAAGTGGTGATCCGAAGATCAAAACAACTCATAGTTTGTATTCTTAATACTGTGAACAACATTATGGCCAAAATGACCAGTTACATGAGTTCTGATTGTCCAAGGGTGTGAATCAACACTGACTTGAGCTTTCAAATTGTTCATACTGCCAGTTTCTAAGCAAACCATGATGGTAACCAACGCAATGTGTTGCCATCAGAGAAATAGAGAAAAATTAGTTTCATCAGTCGGGAGATGTCAAAATAAAAAATTAAAAAAAGTGTGAATCATCTTGACTAAAAAAGTCGGCTAATTTCATTTATTATATAAAAGCACCACCCCTACTTGGAAGCAAGTTTGTTAAAATAGGGATTCTACATGGGATCATTGGAAAGGACTCGCGGATCGGATTGTAGAATCGGATCAAGAATCGTAAGATACTGTTTTCAATGTAAAATAAAATAAAAAATATTGATAATGATGATATATGTTACATAATTTTAAAAAGATTAAAGAAAAATGATAAATTTGATGTAATACATTTTTTATGTTAACATAAATTGAAAAAGACACTTGAAAAAAGAGTTTACAGCCAAATTTTTTATATAGATATACACATATAACAAATAAATAATAACAAAAAATGTATAGAATCAAGATTGTAGTGGAATTGGGATCGTATGCGACTTTAAACAATTTTATGAATAGGATCGTAGTCACTTTAAGAACCTAGTAAATTTAAAATCCTAGCGTGATTCGAATCGTGTGGCCTAACTGAAATTGTAGAAATGTAAGATCCTACGATCCGAATTTGGAACCATGCTTGGAAGTTAGATTAAAACAAAAAACCACAAAGAAGTTCATGGTCCATTTGGGGATTATGTGGGGATACCTAAAGAAAAAGACCATCTAAGGGAGAATCAAGGAGAAATAGGGAATCTTAGCAAAGTGAAAGGGTGAAGTGTCATTTGATCACAAAAGCTTACTGGTAGCACCACAAAAGTAAGAAAGTCTACCCTTTTCCAGTGTTCACAAAAAGAAAAAGTTAAAAAGGACAAAGGCAGTAAAAACCAACCATTTTTGCTTCAAAGAGAATCTTGACAGCAAATAAAATTAATAATAGGTACTTTAGATTCAAGATAACTGCCCTAAACATTCAAAATCCTCGGAACAAGAGTCCTGTTCTATGTTGATACTCTCATAGGCCCAACCCCATTCATGATCTAAACATGTTTTCGGTAATTGTTTGCTAACTGTCTCAAAACAATTATGCTACGATGATCAAATTTGGGTATCTCCGTCATGAATGCATTGGTTTGATGAATCTTACATTTCGTTTTTTTTTTTCCAGACATATCTATGGGTGGTATTCAAACAGTCTCAAAACAATAATGTTACGATGATCAAATTTGGGTATCAAATTTAGGATATATGCCGTCAATGCATTGGTTCGATGAATCTCATCTTTCGTCTCTCAGATCTATTGATGACGTTGGTATTCAAAATTCAGTACCCATAGGATTATTTATCACAAAAATGCTTTAAGGCCCCCTGCATTGTTTCTTCCATCTCAGTGCCCATTTCAGGTAGTGCTTGCCAAATTTTGGTACCAAACAGTCAGTGGGTCCAATGCCTTAAAACAACCATGCCTAGCCACCTACCTGATTTTAAAGACCGAGAAACCACCAAGAAAATTGAATCCTCTATTACATTGATATTTGATCTGCTATAAATTCAAGTATGGAATGTCTCTTATTAAGTGCTTCATACTGGAATCTATGATTTCAGTCAGAAAACTGTCTTGTTTTAAAAACCAATGAAGCTTTCATTTCAATTTTGACCAAAAGCCCAGCAATCTCAAAGTACACTCCATGTATAAATTCACAAATAGTAACTCTAACAAGATTAAAAAAAAAAATTAGAAGGTATGCTATATAAACACACAAAAATATATAGTTTTGGGGGTGAATTTTACTTTTCTCTCACAAACTATAATCATTTTTTTAACTTCATCCCTAAACTATCAATTTCAGCCACTAAAGTTTTTTTTTTTTTTAATTTTTTATTTCAGTTCACACAATGGTCACGGTCCGTCCAAATCAGTAATGGTAGAAACATAAACTAATGAATAAAAATATAATTTTATAATTTGAACGGCTTAAATCATACCATTAAGCATCCATAATCTTGCCTACGACCTTCATTTCAAAGTAGTAAGTAAGAAAATTATGTTTGGTTTGTGTTTGAGAGATGTGTTTTAGAGATAAAAAGTACGAAAACATGTTTGGTTTGGTTTTTTTTAAAAGATGTTTTGGAAAATTATTTTGAGATAGAGTTTTGGAAAAAGTGATTGATTTGATGTGTGTGAGAGAGAGATTTGTTTGGAAAACTTGTTTGGTTTACAAGTTTTGGGAAATGTTTTTGGGAAAATTTGTTTGGTTTGGTTATTTTTGAAAACTTATTTGTAGAGAAAATTTCCCAAATTTTTTTCAGAAAATCAAACCAAACGAGCCCTAAATGTTTGCTTGTATGATTTAAATTGTACTAATTTTGAAATGACATTTTTATCTACCAAATGAGGCTTTTAGCCGTTAAATAGATAATAAATTGCAATAATTTAAGACAAAAAAGTGAAATTAAACCTAACTTTTTGAAAGATTAATGAGCAACAAGGTAGGAAGGAGCATACCACGAAGAGAAGAAGCCAAGTTGCCATTGGAGATGAAATCACTGATGAGAAGCTTCTCATCAGGGGCCCAATAGTATGCTCTCAACCTCACAATATTAGGGTGTTTCACCCTTCCGATTGCCTGAATCTCAGCGGCGAAGTCCCTATACCGCTGCTCCCCACCTTCCCCCAACCGCCTAACTGCCACCGGAACGCCATTTCCGAGCACAACTTTATACACAATTCCCAACCCACTCTTCCCCAACACATAAGCTGATGCTCTTAAAAGCTCATCAAGCTCGAAATCAAACCCTTTATCAATCGCCACCAGATCACCCTCGCCGCCACCACCACCATCACCACCATCTTTTTCTGAGTCCAATTCCGAGTCATTACTCGAAAACCCATTGATACAGGGGCAAGAACAGAGCATTGGCTTCCTATCACCACCGAATTTTCGTTTTCCAGTGCAGCTACAACTATGAGAATCTTTTTTCTTCCAATAGAGATATACAATGATTAATCCAATAAACGCAACTCCAAATGCGTCAGCGACTGAGATCAGTATGATCAAACTCGACTTTAATCGTTTTTTGGGACTTGGGTTGGTAGTTTCCGGCGACGAGTTCTGGGTTTCCGGCGAGCTTTTCGGGCACGATTTTTGGAGAGGAAATCCACAGAGAAATGGGTTGCTGAGAAACGCAGTTGGACCCTGATTCGAAAACGAACCAGTCTGTGGAATTTCGCCGCTGAAATTGTTGTTTCGAAGATCGAAACTCACTGTCATTGGCAAATCACCCATTGATTTCGGAAGTTTTCCAGAGAAATGATTGAAAGAGAGATTGAGAGTTCCAGATAGAGACCTCAAATCCCCAATATCTTCAGGAATCGAACCAGTGAAATCGTTAGATGAGAGATCGAGCTGAATCAAATTCGTCAACTCCGACCAAATCCCCGCCGGAAAATCGCCGGAAAACTTGTTCCGACCTAGAATCAACCGTTGCAACTGTTTACAGTTTCGAAGATCATCAGGAATCGAACCTATGAACGAGTTATTCGAGAGGTCGAGGTTTTGAATCCGAGGGAGATTACAGAGAGAAGGAGGGAGAGAACCGGAGAGATTGTTACCGTAGAGAAACAAACTGTGGAGTGAAGAAGCATTGAAGAGGTGATCTGGTACGGACCCATAAAAGTTGTTACCGTGGAGGTTCAGTCGCCGGAGATAAACTAGGGTTCCAAGCTCCGACGGAATGTAACCCCGGAGATTAAGGCCGGTGATGGTGATTCCGACAACTCGGGATTCGCCGGAGATGTTGGTGCAGAAGATTCCAGTCCAGTGACAGGGGGTGGTGTCGTTGTCGTTCCAGTCGGGGAAGGCGGTGGCGCCGCCGTCGACGGCGGATTTAAGAGAGAGAAGAGAGAGGCCGTCGGAGGAGAGAGAGAGTGCGAAATTGAGGAGTTGGAGATGGAGGAAGAGATAGAACAGTGGAGTTATGAGTTTTGACATTTTGATGGGTTTTTTTTGTATAGGGAGGAGGGAGGTTAGAGAAATGGAGAGGTGGAGGAGGAGGAGGAGGAGGGGCATGGTGGTGGTGGAGTGGGGTTGATGGGGTGGCGGTGGAGTAATGAGGGGGAAGATGGGGGTATTTATGAGAAAGAGACTAGAGAGAGAGCGGTGGTGGAGAGAGAGAGAGAGAGAGTGAGGAGAAAGAGAAGAGAGATGATGGGATTTGATTGGTGTGGATCCCACCTCCCGCCAAAAAAGAAACACTTCCTAACGGAATGGGGAGTACAAGAAAAGCAATATGACATTTTGGATATATTTAGGAAATTAAAAAAAAATTCAAATTTCGCTTTGTAACAAAATAAATATTGTATTTTTTATTTGAAGAATTATTAAATGCATAATTGTATATCATACATAATTGTGTAAATTTTTATAAATATACATAAGTTATTTTATAAAATTGTGTAAATTTTTATAAATATATGTAATATCTGTATTTGTAAGAATTTACATAAGTACATATGGTATGCACCTTGCACATTTATTTTTTTATTTTATTAATTTCAATTTTAATCTTTTAATTTATTGTTAATTTAAATTACTTATCTATTTTTGTTAAGTAAAATTAATAAAAAAATATTTTAATTATTAAATTTAATAAAATAATATTTTAGACATTTTATGATAAAATATTATTATTTTCTTCAATTTTACTTAATAAAAATAGATTAAAGGTTTAGACAAAAACAAATCTAAATATTAATATTTAAATTCACAAAATTAAAAGTTTAGGATTTATTTTGTTGTAAAGGTTAAATTTTGAAATTTTGTTTTATAATTTCTTCCTTTTATTTTTTATTTTTTTATATATGATTAGTATCAAAAAAATATAACAATGTTAGGTAACTCAAAATTTCGTAACTCAAATGGCTCAAATCACTCAAAACGACATCGTTTTAAGTGTAAAATGACATCATTTTGACAGATTTGAGTCATTTGAGCCACAAAATTTTGAGTTATCAAAAATTAATATTAAAAAATTCTTAAAAGTGTAAGAGAAAATTTCTAAATAAATACAGGGAAATAAAATTGTATACATTTGAGATAATTTAAAATGATGGGGCAAATTTTAATTTTATTATTTTAAATGAAGAGCTGGGTTTGGTAATACTTTTTTTTTTTTTAGTTTTTTTGCTTTCTTAGATTTTCTATAAAGTTGTTAAAAGTTAATATATTTAATAAATTGTAAAAAGTATAACCGACTCTATTTAATAGAGCTTACGGCTTAGTTTGATTTGGTTTGATTTGATATAGTTTAAGAAACGGACTTATTATAATTTTTTTTGTTTTTGTTTTTTGAAAGTTTTTTTGTTAGAATTGTGAAATCAAAGCTTAAAATTTTATCAAATTAACTTCTTCTTCTTTTTTTTTCTTTTTTTTTTTTAAGTCACTGCCATACTATTTTTAAGCATTTTTTTTTAAATGCTCTTAAAATATCATTTTACATTGTGAGTATTTGGATTTTTTTTTTTTTTTTTTTTTTTTTTTTTTTTTGGGTGAGACATCGGAATGTAGTATTTATTTGATTCTTTCTAACTATGATGATGGTGATGTGTTTGGATGAAAATTGACAAACATCTTTTTGTGCTTTTGATCTTACTTCTTGTACAAGTGTACAAATGTGCTTTAGCAGACTTTTATATTAAAGTTTTACGGAACCGCTAGGTAGCTCGAAATTATAAGGCTCGAATGGCCCAAAATCATCTCCTCCTCTTCTCTCTCTATCTCTGCCTTCTAGAATATAGTAAAAGGCTTCATTGTTTCTCTGATACACACTTAATTCAATTCCTTCCATGCCTTTTACCTTGGCAGATCAAGATTAAAAAATAGAGTAATTGATTGTTCCATAGGTGGACGATTCTATACTCCACCCACTACCCAATTCACCTCCCAAAAAACCCCCCTCTGGGTCGTTGTTTTTCTCTGTAATTTTAATTTCTCATTGAAGTCTTTCTTGATTGTTCTACTTCCATGGCAGAGACCCATCCCCCAAAATACAACCAGAGATCAAGAAATCTCAACTTATTTGTTTTCAAACCCAAGTGCACCTTTATTTTAATATTTATTTATTTAAGAAAATGAGATTTGAGGGATGGGAAATTGAAATGACAGAGAAAAACAAGAGCATAAGTTGGGATTTCTTGATCTCTGGATGTGTTTTGGAGTATGGGTCTCTGCCATGGAAGCTGAACAGAGCTTGTGTTCTTTTTTTTTCCCTGTATTTCGTTGTCTGTCGTTCGTTGTTGTTCATCATTCTTCGTCGAACAGCGATCAGATGGAGGTTTAACAGAGATGAAAGGGATGAGAGAGATATGGGATGAGGGGTATATGGGAGATTAGATGGATGAACGAGAACAGAGGTGAGAGCGTTTGTTGAGCATTTTCACTTTGGCTTCGATGAGAACGATCTGCTGAGAGTGATCTGGGATGAGGTAGAAAGAAGAGAGAAATTAATGAAAGAGATCTGCATTTTGGCTTCGAATAGAGGTAGAGAGAAAGAGAGAGAGAGGAGAGAGAAAATAATGACAAAAGAAAATTCGAGCCCCTCGAGCCATAAGCTTTCGAGCTACAAAGCTTTTTCCAAAGTCTTATTTTTAATATAGTAAGCTTTAATTTTAGTTGATTATGGTAAAGTTGAAGGCTTTGGGTGTGTTTTGGGAAGGGACCAAAAAAAAAAAAAGTTAAAAGTTAAGTTTTTTATCAATTTTAGGTTATATTACTTCTTATATAAATAATAAAAAAAGTTAATAAAAATCAAAAAATTAATTTTTTATCATTTTTCAAAAACACCACAAAATGTTCATGGGCATTCTTGATCTAAAAGCATATTTTAATATTAGAAGAAGAAAAGAAAATTGTGTTTAGTTTGAATTTTTTGAATTAAGTTTTGTGAAAATTGAGTTTTTATTTTTCGTATTTTTTTTTATTTTTAGAGAATATTTTTTAAATTGTAAGTATTTTTTTTAACTTTTATATACATCTTATTTAGATGTGTCTAGAAAATAAAATATTTATGAAAAAAAATTTAAAATTTAATAAATACACAAAAATATGAAAAATATACTGAATTTTTTGTAATTTTTTTTATATTCTTGGTATTTAGTGAATTTTTTAAAGATTTTTTTTCACAAAAATTATACTTTTAAGTGTATTTATGTTAGGTGTGTCTAAAAAAAATTTTAAAAATGCTTAAAATATTAAAAAAATATAAAAAATTAAAAAAGTAAAATTTTCTGAAAAATATTTTTAGAAAACTCAAACCAAGCAGTATGGCAATTTTATGGAAATTTCTACTATATATCCCTTTCAAAAATGATATATCATATATATTCTTAATTATATCATTTTCTTCTTTAATTATAAGTAATTTTCTTCTTTAGTTGTAACATTATTTTAGTCATGATTCATGAGTTTTTCAGTTATACCTCATGTCGTGTTTACTTATGATATTTTTTTTTCTTTTTTTTAGTTATGACTAAGAAAATTAAAATTTTATTATTTTTCTTTTTAGTTATAAAGTGCATGTGGTACACTCTTTGAAAGAAATGCACCATAGTGTTTCCGTGAAATAACATACATTTGTGCTTAGTCTAGAATGTTTTAAGATTGGAAAAGATTATGGTACACCCACTTTGCACCATATACATCTTATAATAAAAGAAGAAAATTGTATAATTTCATATTTTATGAGTCATGACTAAAAAAAAAAAAAACAAAAAGAATAATATTATATACACCAATTAATGCATTAGTTAGTGTACCAATTGATAATGTGACATAATTTAAGAGATTTTTAGTATTTATAATTTATATTATGAGTGAAGTCAATAATAATGTCATAACTAATGTTGGTACACTAATTAGTACTTGTAACACCACCCAAAAAAATATTATAACCAAACATTACATGAGGCATAATCAAAAATCTTATGAGTTATAACTAAAATAATTTCATAACTAAATAAGAAAATAATATAATTAAGAATGCATATAATATATCTATTTCAAGGGACGTGGATAATATAATTTCTCTTTTAAGATTTTTGTGACGCTTTTGATTGTGATTTGATAGTAAAAACTTGTCAAAATTGAGAAAAATTATTGGTTGATCTCGGTATGTTACGTGACCATATCCCACACCAATCACAATTCATCATACTTCCTCATGTGTCTCAATCACTCAATACAAATTCATGAATCTCATTATTTTTATCAATCATAATACCATTAAGACACTACGGGATAGTGTCCAAAGATCAACCAATAACATCTCCAAAATTAAAGTGTCCCAATCATTTTTCTCTCTTAAAAATGGCATAATTGAATTGAAAACCTAAATAAATGTAGTGATTACTTAAGAATATAAGAGCATCATATGCTATTATTTATATGATATCTTAAATTAATTATGTAGTGAATATTTTATAATGACTCGTTTTTATTTGGGAAAATCAGTCTAAGGTCCTTGTCCAACTTTTAGTAATGGATTAGGTCCACAATATGTTCTTTTGTAATCTAAGGTCCATCCCCTCTTTGTCTCTCCTTCCGTGCCAGATCTAAACGAATAGCTACCATCGGAAGCTATGGACAAACAACTCTCTCTCCCTCTGCACCGAGCTAGCAACACTGCGAAGCATCGACCAACACCAACCTCAACACCAACCCCTAACTTCATTCTCCAACCGATTGAGCTCCAGCTTCACCGGATTCGATCTTCAACGGCGTCGCCGAGAAACAAACAGTCAGTAGGAGACTTCAATTTCTCGAAACCAGATCCATGGTTGTGGAACACCAGTCCAGCTGTCGATTGAGAGTGGTGTGACCCATTTCGAAGGTTAGATTTGAGACCTAAACTTCAATTTGTTGGTCAGGAAAAAACTTGTGCTTTAGGGACCTAAGTTTCTCGCGAGCATCCTCAACCCTTTTGTACTCTGCTCTTGCCTCTGAGTTCGACCTCTCTTGTTTCTCCTGCAATTGAGCCAATACCTCTTCGCATGATTGTAGAGCCGCTTCTGCCATTAAAGCTTGAGCTTCATCATCCTCAATGACCTTGGTCACCC